CATCGGGTGTCCTGGCAAAAAGTCGCGGGAAAAAGTGGTATCGCTCGAGTCGTGAGCGCATCTACCTACATACTTGGTCGCCTCCGTTGGCTACCGTGGAAATTCCACTCCGTCGTACACGTGGCTGGGACGACGGGTAGAACAGGCAATAAAAACAGAGAAAATCCTTCGGGGATCGTAAAATCAAGGTGTTTCTATGTTGAAAATGTTTGCGCTAGGGTGGCAAGGTCGTGGAAATCGTATGTCTCGCAAATGTGGAGAATTATGAAGGGACCACCATTCGAAGGGACGTTAAGGTCCTGTTTGGGTCGGTTTGAAGCCGTTTGCGTGGGTTTGCGTTGTTTGAAATACAGAATTGTAAAGTTTATCGTGAAGAATTAAGCTTTGCGTTAATGGAAGAGCTGTTGCGAGTCACTGGTAGAAAATCTTTGGCATGTTTTAGATTTAAATGTTCGAAAAAAGAAGATTAAAAATGAAAATGACCTAAAAGCGACTAGTTATTGTGCTTTCCTCAATAACATAGTATTAATAACATTGATTACCTTATAGTTTAAAGATATTCAAAGAAAACTGTGCCAATACTTTTTTGACTCACTGTAGGTGCGATTTGTTATTACAAGAAAAAGAATCAACTACCAACGACGTTCGAGATAGCACGGTATCGGGAAAAGGGAGAAAGAAACGAAAAGGGAGGGGAGCTCGTCTGGTGGCGCCAGCGGACGACTGTTTTTGTTTCCTTATAAATTTGGCAGTAGTCGACGGTTCCTTCGCATTAGGACGGGATACGCGAATGCCTTGCAAGGATCCCGGGGAATTCGTTGCGGCATTCGCTGAGAAATTGTATCGTCCGCCTTTTAAGTACAATGTAGAATTCCTGTTCAGGAAACTCGAGTCACGGAAATGTTCATCGAAACGATACACGATTTCCTGAAATAAAACACAACGTTTGACGAAGTTCTCGAGAAACTTTATAAACGAATGGGTGCGTGAAATGAATTTATCGTTCGATCTATCATACGAGTTTATGCTTCTCGAACTACACATCCCGATGGACCCCTAATTTGAAGCCATTTTGGAAAAAAAAAGAAAAAATTGTGACTCAAACATTTTCACTCGATCGAAATACTTTCAATTTTCTTCTTATTACAGCAATGAACATTCTATCTTTTGCGATAGACTACTACTCTTCTGATAGTCTATTGCAGGATGATACGGTGTAACTAACGTAAGGTAAAATGTGTAAAACAGAATAAACTATAAGTTGAAGTATAGTGTTTAAATTATGACATCTTTTGTGTGTGCGTTTCGTGTGACAAACGAAAAACATTAGTGGACAAAATGTGGTGAGACACATTTTTTAAGAAAACCCTACGAAAGGTCTATATAGGTGTGTTGATTTCAAATAGCTTGTTTGTGGGGTGTAACTTTTTTCTAAAGGGTAGACAAATGAAAATTATGATTGGACAAATGTGGACAAATCGTGGACAAACGAATGCAATTTGATTTTGATCAAAACTTGCATTTGGGGGTGGCAACTTCACGAAGCTGTGTTTACCTTACTAGTCATGAAGCATTCGAGCATCTTCTTCAATAAAGATATTTTTTGAAAATATCTCGAGATCTGATCATTCTTTTGCTGTGATACCCTAATCATTTTTTACGTAGAATGAACAGAAGAATCGATCTGTATAAAAAAAAAAAAAAATATGCATTTCTATTTAAAGAAATGATGCAATTGTTAATTGCATATGCACTGCTGCATCTAAACAAAATTTGAAGGCCTATAGATGTAGTGCTCTTCGAACCATTTGTCTTTCTCCTTTGGCATTTTTTCGTAAATGCAATAATAACGGAGTTATAAGTTGAAACAATTGCTTGGACCACCCTGTACAGGGTGTCCCAAAAGTCGGGGAGGAGCCGGAAATGGGGGATAGGTGAGACGATTCTGAACAACAATTTCCTTTGCAAAAATGTCGGATGGGGCTTCGTTAAGGAGATATTAAGAGAAAACCCCGACCAATCACAGCGCGCGCTCGGCCGCGAGAGGCGGGCTCGACCGTCCTTGGCTCGAGCCAGCCAGTCGCGGCTGAGCGCGCGCTACTGAGACGCTGTGATTGGTCGACGGTTTTACGTTAATAATTCAAAAACGAAGCACCATACAACATTTGTGCAAAGGAAATTGTTGTTCAGAATCGTCTCAGCTACCCCCCATTTCCGGCTCCTCCCCGACTTTTGGGACACCCTGTATATCTAGCTTGAGAATTATATTCTGCTATCTACATAATTTTGTTATTTGCATTCCTCCACCCGAAAAAATAACACAAGCGTAAAGAAGAATTCGAGTATTCATTTTTTAATGGATACTAAATTAAATTGAAGGTTAGATGGTTCGCACGACCCCAAGTTCGTACTTTACCGAACCGTTCCCGATAAGAAAAGGCCCCGCGCCGCCGAAACTCAAAGCTCTGGACGAATTTTTCTGAGAAGTGTTTTGCACCGTACTTTTTATCCCCTCGCAACCGCAGATCGTGGTATGCCGGGCATTGTTATGCGCGCCACGACACACTGAGCTCGGCTTTCTTTCAACCAACCTGAGACTTTTCATCGCCACATTACAGGTTGTTTTCGTGTCTCTCTTTTCATTCCGCGTACGGTTTAAAAGAAGCGACGGAATCGAAAGAATCGCTCCTGCTTAACGCGATTTCCGACGAGCAATTTCGGTTAACCTCCTCGGAGACGAATTATTTCAACGATACGCAACGAAGCGCGAGGTGCGAAAACGGAGAAACGATTTATCGACCGTGCATATTCCTTATCGATTCAGATATTATCAATAAAGAAGGGGAGAGTTGACCTGTCGGTAAGTGGGAGAGGTCCTAAAGACTATTTTCGTACATCGGCTGGTAGAAGAAGATAGGTAATATGTCATTCTTTCTTTCTCTTTCTACACTCGTACAAAAAAAAAAATAGGGAACACTTTATAAACCCTAAAAAATAGGCTATATTCCAACAGCTGCAAGTCGGTGAAAAATCATCGCACGAATAAAATGAAAAAAGCGTTTTAAAGCTTGAAGTTTCAACTTCAGCATAATACCACATCGCATAATAGCACGTCAAAGTTGAAACTTCAAGCTTTAAAACGCTTTTTTCATTTTATTTTTACGATGATTTCTCGCCGACTTACAGCTATTGGAATATAGCCTAATTTTTATAGTCAGAAAAAAGAAAGATCACTGATCGGTTGGCAATGTATTGAAATACCAGCGATGTATTCCCGAACCTGAAGCGCACCTCGCTCGTCCCACGATAGGGGACGTGGGCTAGCGCTGTCTTTACAAATTTCTTTTTTTTTTTCTTCTGTCTTTCTTTTTTTTTTCAAAGATTCCCGTTCGCCTGTTTTACGCGCTCGACTGACCCGAGTCATGTACCCACGACCTTGCGCTTAGCTGAATAACCTTTGTACGTAGTCGTGTATAACGCACTCGAGGCCGAATTGAATCCAGTTCCTCGAAGCAACGCGGCACTTCTACTTCTTCTACGGTCGCTTTCATCGTTCCAACGAATGCTCGCATTATATTTACGGACACTAAATTCACGCTACAGGGAACTTCCACCTCGAAAACGCTCGAAATAAAACCTAAAATCGTGCCAACAGGACATTTTCACTTTTGCTCGCATTTTCTATTTTTCGCGACGTGAATTTTTAATTAAAAAAAAATCTGTACAAATTTCGTAAGATTCGCCTATCCGTCCGAAACGTCTCTGATTTTTTACAAAATTTTTCGTCTAGTAATATCTTGCAAAAACGTGATTTACGATTTCACCTCTTCTACCTCTCCCCCCACTCCTCTTTCCTAATTTAAAAAACTGTAAAAATTTCGTAAGGTTCGCCTATCCGTCCGAAACGTCTCTGATTTTTTACAAAATTTTTCGGCTAGTAATATCTTGCAAAAACGTGTTTTACGATTTCACCTCTTCTACCCCTCCCCCTCCCCCCCCCCTCCCTCCCCATCCCGGAAAGCTAAGTCCCAGATATAAAATTCGACAAATATCATGTTTTTTGTTCTATAAGCTATCGAATGACCCATAGCAAATCGAATTTGACCCTCTTTCCCTTTCTCTCTTACAGCCTAACTATTACGAACGTTGGATGGATTATGCGAATCTCGATATGGCCATTTTGCACGATAAAACAACGTTCATTTGAAACGAAACGACGCCATGTTGGCTAAAAAGCTCATCTCCCGCGAATAAATAGTACAAATAGATGGACTGATACATCCTTCGTATAAAATAATTCGTATCATCGGAACAAATGTCATATCATAACACAAATCAAATAATATCGAATCTAATCACGCAGTTATCAATTGCATATATCAATTATAGAGAAATATTCTAATCGTCACTCACCGAACAGCAAGCGTCGAGCAGGTTCACCCCTCGAAATCGAATATCGCGGCTTACTTCTGCTATCCCGCTGCATCACCCTTCATTCTGCCTTTATAACACGTTTCGTATTAACGTATTATGTTTAGCAGCCCAATAAAGACGATTTATGCTCGATGTATTATCGGTGCAGCACGCTTTCTTCCGAAAACGAGAAGCTTCTTTGAGAAGAGGTAGAAAGTGACGCCAACTCTAATTACCGATCTCGTTCTCCAACACTAAACATATCAAACAATTAGTTAGTTTCTACTTTCAAATATCTTTACCGTGAACAGTTTCGGTACATTGGTTTCAATTTCCTTTCGATACGTACCTACTTTATCTGCATTTTTCTGCTGGACGATCTGACGGCGCTGCATCGCTCGTACCTCCGGCACTAAAATGGCCGAATTAACGGCTTAGACAAGATACTTTTCCGATTTCGCGTCTTAGAAGAATTGTTTAAAATCAGCACGACAACTTTGTGCATGGAAGCGCGCCTGTAAGACGTTTCAACATTGACCGTGGCAGCACTGCATGGAGTCACCCTCCAATCAGCTCCAATTGTAGAGCTGACATTTTGTCGGCAAACATAACCTAACTTTTTAACCAGCTCGAATCTCTCCAGTGTTGTGTATTTACAGCAGATAATAAATTGCATATAATTTCGAGGGGAATTTTATCGAGTTAACCCAGCGACATGTCGGAACGTAAAGTTTTAAACGTGAGTAAATTTCTGTATTACGAAAACTGTAACAAGAATTATTTATCTATGTCATTGGTTAATGCATGATATTTATTTCAGAAATATTACCCGCCCGACTTCGATCCGTCGAAAATCCCTCGTATGAAATTGGCCCGTAATAGGCAATACACAGTACGTTTGATGGCTCCTTTTAATATGAGATGCAAGACTTGCGGAGAGTACATTTACAAAGGAAAGAAATTCAATGCCCGCAAAGAGGATGTTGAAGGCGATGATTATTTAGGTATACGAATTTACAGGTTTTACATAAAGTGCACCCGGTGCCTCCAAGAAATAAGTTTCAAGACCGATCCAAAGAACACCGACTATGAGATCGAAGCGGGAGCTACTAGGAATTTCATGGCCCTTAAATTGGCCGAAGAGCAAGCTCAAAGGGAAGAAGATGAAGAGAAAGAAGAGGAAGCGACTAATCCTATGAAACTTCTAGAGAAAAGAACATTGCAATCGAAACAGGAATTGGAGTTACTGGAATCTTTGGAAGAGTTGAAAGATTTGAATCGCAGACAGCAAACCATCGATTATGATCAAATGTTAGAACAATTTGACACTGTAGCTGCTAAACAGAGAACACAAAAAGAACAAGAGGAATATGACGAAGAATATATTAAATCAATATTTGGCAAAAAGCAGGCAAATACGACTGTTGTTGAAGAAGAAATTGTGGAATTAGATGAAAATGAAAGTATCGAACCTCCAAAGAAAATGGTTAAGAAAAACAAAAAGACAGAGGAAAGTAGCAGCGTTCTGAGAACAGATGAAGAAAAGGTACGTATATGAAATGCCAGTAATTGTCAGAGAAGTACTTGATAAAATTAATTAAACATTTCTCTTTGTTTCTAGGTTGGAGATAGTCAGTCCGTGAAAACATCCGATGCATCGTTATGGTCCGAAAGTACGGGAACGTCTTCGAGTAGAAAGAATTTATTAGGTATAGTTAAAAGAAAAACAAATTTAGGTGTAAAAGTAAATTCAAATTCTACGGAAGAGAAAAGTAGTCAAAGTGCGAATACAATCACGTCTGAAAGTACAAACAATTCATCCCGCAATGCTCTATCCTTGTTAGGAGCTTATTCGGGCAGCAGCGAAAACGACAGCGATTAACACAATGTTCGATATTGTATATACAATTAAATTTAATAAAATTTATTACGAAATAAAATGTACCTATAAACACAGTATAAGATATAAGTAAGCATAGACGAATATATATATATATAAATCGAAATACATAAATGACTTTTAATTTTACAAAATTTCAGATACGGAATTGCTACTTAATTTGTATGGATTTTTAAACACCACGAACGATACTTGCAATCGATGGTGTTTGAACCACCTTAAGAAAGTTCCTTACAGGATGCTGAAGCCTTTACCCCTAAAACATAGAAAACACAAGCGATCAGAAATGAAGAAATTAGGAATCGGTCTGTTTCAAAGGCTAGGCACTCTGTAAGAAACTTCCATATCAACGATGCAACATTGAAAACCGTAGCAGGGAGTACCTAGCCTATTAAATCAGACCATTTTTACTACACATTCAAATTTATTCGTAAACGTACATGATTACTTGTTCCAAATTGAAATTACACTAACAGGTGGAAATACGAGGACATTCGCAATTCATTGCTATACCATATCGCGTATGGTATACAAATGAATCATCGTATTATGTAGCGTTTAGACCACGCAGACCTATTGTATTAACCTACAATGATTCGAGCCATTCAAGATTTTACGAGGAACAAATTTATAGCCTTTACTCTCACAGCAATGAAATGCTTTGGAATTATAGCAAAACGTCGTAAATGTCAGGGTATCGAAAGTCTCTTAGTAAAGTAGACGATAAAACGTATCTTTACAAATCGTCGTAACGAGATTTGGTCCTGTTCGTCAGCGGTGGTCGAATGGGATAACGATGACGACAATAGTCTTCTCTCTGATAAGAACTTAACAACTCCCTGCTACTATCGTCCATGTTATCAGACTCCTCGCGCAGATCGCACATCACGGTGGCGTACTTCCTACTTCCAACGGTTGCTGGTGGATCGTAACGATAATCGTCGTCGTGAAAATTCTCTCTACTAACTGAACCTTTGGTTTCTTCTAAGTTAGAGGTGTCTCCGAGCCAAGTATCGTCTTTATCCGACCACTGTCCATCGTCTACTCGTAAAGGTACGACTTCCTGTCGACAACGCTCGCAAATGTAAGGTTGCTCCTCGTCGGAAGAAGTCTGTCGCGGAGTGTAATCCTCGTAGTCGTGCAAGGATTGATTGTCGGTATTGTCAGTTCGCGATGCGATGGTATTAATCAAGACGTCCGACCTACCACCCGAATCGTACCGGTTCTCGTTCGAGGCATAGCGCAAATCGGAAGACCGTTGCAACGAAGGCTGATCGGAATCGCTAAAATAATCCTGCGACAATCTATCTTGGTCGCTGTTCGCGTCAACTTTAGAAGACGAGAACCTTTCGTACCGCTGTTCTTTGTTCCTCTGCAGAGCGAGCTCCAGTTGGGCGATGCGGTTCTCCAAACGCGTTCGTTGAGCTTGGGCACGGTCCTGCTGGTCCTCCATCAGCTTCACCATCTTCTCCAGACGCATTATCTGCATCTGCTTGGCTTGCAGAGACGAGTACAGCTCGTGGATCGCCTCTGTCTTCGCGGCAATCTTTTCGTTGTCGAATTATAATATTTACTAACTACCGCGGTATACTATTCTTATTCGCGTTTATGTAGTTAGGTACTCCGTAACAACTGAACGCATTTAACTGGGTGTAATGTAGAAATAGATTTTTAAATGTGTATGTTACCGGCGAAGTCGGTCGCGCGGTGAACGATCTGTAGTTCATTTCTCTGTGAATTATTTTCATTCTTCATTATCTCTTAAACTATGCGACCAAATGAACATGCCGTAAAGGACAAATTTTATCTTCGTGAAATTTCTCATATTGTACCTGACAAGTGCCATTCAAATGCACCTTATAATTTCGTATTCATTTTTGACATAAAAATGGTTAGTGCGGTTTAGATGTAAAGCTAGCTGTGTCATCGCCAATATTTTTGTATTACGTATAATGTAAAGTAGCCAAGCAACGTTTTTCTACCGACTTGATTTACAAATTTTGTATGTATCGAAATAAAACATAGCTTATGTCACTCATGGACAGCGTAGCTTTCTATCGCTGAAGAATGTTTAAAATCGGTTCAGTTGTTCCGGAGATTACCGCCTACATACAAACAAATAAACTTCATCTCTTTATAATACATATTAGTATAGATGAATGTCTTTTGACGGCGGTATTTTTTTGTACCTTTTCAGTGTACTCGTTGTTCTCGTCGTTGTTCGACGAGTCGGTGTTTTCGTGATCAACCTTGCCCTTCATCATGCTGAGCAACTCGTCCCTGGCCTTAAGGAACTTGTTCTGCTCGCGCATCACGCACTCGCGCTGCTCCAACTCCAGTTGTTTTTGGGTCAACGCGGTTTCCAGCTCCTCTTTCTGCTGGACAACACCAGCCAAATGATTACGGAGATCGGAAAGTTGTTGTTGAAGCTCGATCGTGTGGGCGCTTAGACCAGCTTTTCCACCTTCCCTCGATTGGGAGTGAAGGAGTGTCTGGATCTCTATCAACTGCTTTTCTAAGGTCCCATTTCTTTCTTGGCTGTATTCGATTGAAAACATTTGGTGTTAATGATAAATTATTGGTATTGAAACGGGGTTATATTAAAGACAGATGGACTTACGCGTTTTTTGCGACCTTTTTCAATTCGCAGTATTGCATCTTCAAGTTCTTGAGTTCGTTGTTTTTGAAGACCAGCTCCGTGGCCAGCTTCTCCCTCGTGTCGTCCTCTTCGTCGTTACTCTGGGCCCCCAAGAAGGGAAAGCAAATGATCAGAAATAATCGCGTATCGTAAACTGGAATAGAATAATATCTAACGAACGAAAAGTATCGAATCGAGTTCTTAGGACTTAGACGAAGACATGTCCCGAAAGTAGTGCAAACTAACGGCCGCTTGATGCATCACCGCCACGATCTCTTCCTTTTCCTGCTGTAGCTGCGCCAACATCTCTTTCTGCATCTCCACTTCCGCCCTTGCTGCTTGGAGCTCGTTGAACAACCGAACTTCGTTCTCCGAATGACTACCCTCTGAAAAGCAAACATCTTTTCAATTTATTCTCTCGTTTAACCCTTCGAGTGGCTCAGGAAATTTTCGTACGTGTCCCGAGAAATGCCAGACTATTTTATTTTAAGCTTCGCGAAATTTTTACACGATACTAAAAGCACGAGACTTCCTTTATTACTGAAAAAAATACTAATGAAACGTTGTAGGTTTAACAAAAAATAAATTCGTATAAAGAAAATATTTTCGGAAGATCTGTAACTTGAATCTTGTTTGTAAACGAATATAATTTAGTGTTCTGTTAAAATGAATCTCTTCAGTTATTTCTTTTTTTTACTCATAATTGTTGAAAAATAAATTCGTATAGAGACAATATTTTCACAAAACTTTGAACTTGAATCTTGTCTGTAACATGATTTATTGTCTGCTAAAATGAATCTTTTCAGTTATTGTTTCTCCATTCATAATTGTACTAGATATATCCTTTTAAAATAACCGTTCACGTACAATTATGCTCTTACAGGCACAATCCGTGGATGGGTTTTTTGGCGTTTGAAATCAAATATATTAGATATTGACGTAATTTTCGTAGAGCAAAATTCATTCTCTAACGTTCCTTGCCACTCGAAGCTTTAACGTACACAACTGCTTCGAAAAATTCCTTATCGTCCGTATTACCCGTGATGGTAAAGTCTTTATTCCTCTCCGCGAGTTCGCAGAACTGGTTGCTCTTCTCTTCCAGTTGTTTGTACCGTTCCTCCAGTTCGCTGAGCGCCTCCTCGGCTTCCTGCCTATTAAAAGTAGGACTCTCGAGTCGATCAACCCTTTACTACAAAAAAACCGTAAATCACCCTCACCTTTTCTCGCTCTCGGCTGCAACTTCAGCCGTAACCGCGTTCAGCTTCTCGGACAGCTCTTTGATCTTGTTCATCGTCTCGTTTTCTTTGCTGCTCATCTTCTCCTTCAACTCCACCAATCTAAAATCATTCCAGGTCACAAAGAAGGGGGGAAACATGCGTTCCAGACAAGAGGAAAAACATTAAAAACGGAAAGTGCAACCGTGACTCGTAGCTGTCCCGCTGTTTCTCGACCTTGAAGACGAGGGCCTCGCTGTTCTTGATCGTTCTCTGCATCTCCTTCATTTTCATATCCACCGACTGTTCCTTCTGTCTGACCTGGTTCTCCAGGTTCTTCACGTTCGCCTGCAGCATCTGGATCTTTCCCTCGTCGTTGGCCACGTGCGCCTCCAGCTCTCGTATCTTGGCTCGCGCCCTTTGCAACTGGACTTCCGTTTGCCGCAGACGCTCCTTGTTCTGATTGCTCCTCTCTCGCTCGGCCTGCAGTTCCTCCAAGGTGGCGTTCAACTGCGACTGCAACTCCCTTTGCCCTCCCACGCCCTTCAACTCCCTCAGCTTCGTTCGCTGGCCCTCGAACTCCTCCACCATGTTCCTCACGTTCTTCAGTATCTCCTCCACGGTCTTCGTTTCCATCTCTTTAATGTCTTCCATGCACGCCTGCGATACGATCGATTGCATCAGGGCTTCGCGTGTATCGCACTTCGCGAAGTAAATAAATTACCTACCTGCAAGCTCTCGTAATCCTTCCTGTGGACTTCCAGTTGCGCCTCGACCTGTACCAACGAGTTTCCCTCCTCGTTCTCCTCGACGCTGGCTTTCAATCGAGAGTCCACGAAGGCGACGAACTCCGACTGCTTGTTCAGCAGCTCCCTACACAAGCTCTGCGACTTCCTCGGGATCTCCTGCAGCTGACGATGCAGGTTGTCGACGAACTCCTCGCAGACGGCCATGTTCTCCACGCAGCTCTCCGGCTGCTCGTTCTCCGCGACTGGCTCGATGATCGTCGGCTGCTGCTTGGGCCCTCCGATCTCGACCTTCAGGTCCTCCAGCTTCCCAGGATCCTTCGCACCGCTGGCGATCACCTGCTCGCGCAGCTGGCTCATGTGGTTGTACAGATCTTGAGCTACTTTCTGCGGAGGATTTTTTTGCTTTGTTTTGTATTGCGTTTTAAGGCGAGCTTGAGGAGGTACTGGAACTCTATTCGCTCCCCTTATTTGCTATTGCACTGAATTATTCTAATTTTTTCCCCTCAGGCTTTTCCATTCCTTATAGTTTTTAGCCAGCCTTAATCCAACCATGAAAAATCGGGGCGGACCGGCCGGGATACGAAAACCCGAGTTCTCAGCGTGGTAGTCGGCTACTCTACGCACTGCTCTACTGTTCGATCTACTCTACTCTACTCTTTAGCGTTCGATTAACGTAGGATGAACGTTCCTTTCAGTGGCTCCAAGGGAAATTAACCGTTTGCACTCGAGGTCTTTTTTTCTGGTATCTATCAGCAACTCGAGATGCTTTCTTAGCATTCTATTGTCACGAATGCTAAGCTTAGATTGACTTCGACAATGAGAACTCTAATTCGAGATTTCCCTTTGCCTCGACGACAATCATTTTATTGACACTTCCAGTTTCAACGAAATTAAACCTAAAGGAAACCTAAAGGAGCATAGTGGTGACTGAGAGTAACCTCTCGAGTGCAAAGGGTTGAAAGTACGTCAAGAAGGAACTTGGGGAATAGTTACCTGTTTGTCCATCAAGTCCTTCTTGATCAACTGGTACCGTTTCTTTTTTATCGCGTATTGATTCTCGAGCTTCATCGCGGATCCTGCGGCTGCGGACATTGGCCGCTTGTAGGCAGTGGGACTGACCGACGGTTTCGCGAGTGAACGACGAGCGGAACCGATCTGCGATTTCGTGACACCGGAAGCATCTTCTCCGGTTGGGTTTGCAGGATCCCCCTGTATACAGAATCGTTACGAAATTGTGAGAATCATTATGAAATTGGTGGCGAGTACAGATGCGGAAGGAAGCAGTCGATACAATACATGAGTCGCATTGCGCGCCGATTGAGCCAACGGGACTTTGTTTCTCTGAGTCACGGGGGCTGGCCTGTTCACAGAATTCGACATCGCACCTTTCTGTACGGCACCATCAGATTCGATGTTTTCTATATTTTCACAGAGAAAAATGAGCTCGTACATACAGTCAGTCTCAGAAATATTCGTACCCTATGGGTCTATTAAGGGGCTTGAAATATCAAAAAATTGATAAAAATCACGTCCTTTTCGTTTCAATTGAAATTAAAGCGATTCTGGACGGTTCTGTGCAATCAGATTGAATTTCGAGCACCGGTAGTGGTAAACCGATTTCGATGATTTTGAAATATCAGCTCTTTGTTATCAAATACATTATTCTAAACAACTTTTCCTATATATATTTTTGTTTAGATATTCATAAAACACTTTCGACTAAAAATCATCGAAACCGGTGTTGAGCACCCTTGTACAATTAACAAATTATTATCTACATTGAAAGAAATCCGTTTACTCCAGTTCGCGAACTGTATTTCAATGATATTGTTCCACTACTAAAAAACATTCTCCATTGATATATCACGACTGACCGATGAACCAGATATGCTGAAAAAGTAATCGCTTCGGTGAAAATATTTTTCACTTCTTTTAACTCAACAACTACATTTATCTTAAAATTTACCCTTATCGAGGAAGAGATTGAACGCGATACTTTATCTAACCCTCACCCGATCGCATCAAAAGTTCCCAAATTACCGAAATGCAAAAACATGGTGCGAGAGAGAGGGGTGTCGATTAATCGAGGAATGGCTGGCGAGTAATCCAGGAATGGTATTCTACTCGAGGATCCGCAAAGAATCTCGACGGTGATTGCGATTTAGAAGAGGACGACAACGTCGCGGTTAAACGTTCCCGGTCGCGGCACGGCGATTAGGTTAGAGGGGTGACAGCTGGTGGCGAACAACCTGATGGATGATGCGTTGCTGTCGGCTGGCTCATTGCGGTGCGGAATCAATTTCGACGACCCGACGTACGGATGGCCAGATTTGGAAGTCTGCGGCACGTGGACGAATTTACGGGTGCTGTTATTGGAAAAACGGCCGAGTTTCGATTTCATGTTCCCACTGGTCGTGGACAGCGGGATCGCATCACCGTCTGCTCGCGAGACAGTCGACGACTTCGCGGCGTTGACGATGGCACGCGTTCCTTGTCGCGCAGGAAGAGGAAAGAAAAAATAAAAAAATAAAAATAAAAAATAACGAGCACTCCGCTACTTACGACGAACGCGAGCGCGTTAGATCGTCGTACAGCATGCTCGAGGCGCGACGGATTCGATTGCGTATGTGCAGGTTTGTTTGCGGCTTAGTTTGAACCGAAACACGATAATTTATAAGCCACGACGAAACTTTGAAAGAAAGGAGGAAAAATGATGACCGCCACCTGCGACAGGCAACTGTTACACCGTGTCGCGACGAGGAGTCGCCTAAAAGACAACGATGTACCGGGGTTTAAGAATGTTATTAATCATGCTCTACTTACAAATCGTGTACGAGTACACCGTTGCGAAATAATAGGAGGAAACACAGGCGCCGCGATAATTGCCGAAAACTGGGAGCACCGACGCATCGCAATTAAAACAGATGAGGCAATTTAGTCTGGAATAAGGCCGCTTTAATTAATGGGTGTAGCTTTTTTTTTAAGACCTTCTAGAAGTACCGTGAATCATCAACTTCCTATTCAGGAATGCTCTTTCCAAAAGTCTTTCTATTCCTACCGTCCGAGGCCTTTCGAGCGGCAGAGTTTTTAAATGAAACGAGTCAGAAGAATGGAATTTGACATTCTTCGAGTCACCGCTATCGTTACCGTTAATTTAACTACGCTGCTCATTTTGCTACGTTTTTAAACGATTGGAATCGCTTCATCCGGTACGGATAACAAAATAATTCCAGATAAGTGAATAATTCTTGGCCACGCCAAGCATTTGACTTCCAGGCCGCGGAAATCTAGGCAAATCATCTGCCAAGCTTATTTCAATTTCACATCTTTTTCTATTTTCTTGTTTTCTTTTTTATGGGGATCATCTATTTTTCAATGACAACTCCTCGAGTCCTCCACTTTTTTTTCATCTACTTGGCGTAATTTTTGTACTTTTTCGAAGCCTTTTATCGGATTTTGTTATGCGTACCGGACGAAGCGAGCCGTGTCTGACTCTTGCGGGAGAATCTCCTGCGGTGCACAGAGTTTTAAATGAAACGAGTCAGAAGAACGGAATGTGACATTTTTCAACTCACCGTCATCGTTACCGTTAATTTAACTACGCTGTTCATTTTGCTACGTTTTTAAACGATTGGAATTATTTTGTTATCCGTACCGGATGAAGCGAGCCGTGTCTGACTCTTACGGGAGAATCTCCTGCGGTGCGCGACGCGCACGCGACACGCGCAGGCAACGGGTTGTTATTAGCACGCCTCGCGAGGCACAGTCAGTTGCCCGGAGACCAGCGTACGCGAACGTCGTATCGAATGTGCTCTTCGGCAGTGGTTCACGCACGTGACATGAAGCTCGAAAGCCAATCGTTTTAACTGCGGTGCACGTGTTTCGTACATCGGTGTACATTTCGATCTAATCGTCGCAATGGTGAGTACTTCCCTTTTCGTACCGTTTAAAAATAACACTCGCGTTATGTTTGACCACAATGAAAATACACCTCGCGATGCCAGGCATCGAGTAGCTACGACATTTATGAATAAATTGTCGTTTAGCTCTGTTTCGGAAAAGATAACGCTGGAGATTGTAGGGATGGTGTTCTGGAATTTATTTCCGGAGCAATTGTTGTTTACGCGTACGTAAGAAATTTACGCGTGCGTTTCCCTTTAAAAGTTTCGACCATACTTCAGGCAGATTAAACTCCAGACGTAAATTCAGACGTGGAATAGCGGCGCGTACTGTGCCACGGTTAGAATTTACTTTTTAATTAAGATAAAGTAACCGTAATACGGGCAAATTAGTTGTTTACTAACACGATGTAGCGAATTTGAAACTAATCGTGCTAATCGTGTTTTAATTAACCTGCTGTACGATCTACGATTTTTGAATTTCTTCCAATTTTGAATTTCAAAATTCGACAATCGTGAATCTAATATATATATATATATATAAATAATTTTTTAATTAAGATAAAGTAACCGTAATACGGGCAAACTAGTTGTTTACTAACACGAAGTAGCGAATTTGAAACTAATCGTGTTTCAAGTAACCTGCTGTACGATCTACGATTTTTTAATTACTTTCAATTTTGAATTTCAAATTTCGGCAATCGTGAATCTAATATATATATATAAATAATTTTTTAATTAAGATAAAGTAACCGTAATGCAGGCAAATTAGTTGTTTACTAACACGATGTAGCGAATTTGAAACTAATCGTGCTAATCGTGTTTTAATTAACCTGCTGTACGATCTACGATTTTTGAATTTCTTTCAATTTTGAATTTCAAATTTCGGCAATCGTGAATCTAATATATATATATAAATAATTTTTTAATTAAGATAAAGTAACCGTAATGCAGGCAAATTAGTTGTTTACTAACACGATGTAGCGAATTTAAAACTAATCGTGCTTCAATAACCTGCTGTACGATCTACGATTTTTTAATTACTTTCAATTTTGAATTTCAAGTTTCGATAATCGTGAATCTGGTTAGAGCAGAGATGGGCAATCCGCTCCGTTCCATTTTGGTTAATAGGATATAGCGCCCTTAATTTCGCTTCGTTTTCAATTAACAGACGCTGTAGATCACTCATTAAACGTTTTCGTAGTCAACAATTATTCCGTCTGTTTGAATGAATGATAATCCGCTTTTGATGAGTCCTGAGGTAAATATTCGAGAACTAGGTGAAAAGAAAAATATCATATCATTAAAAATAATAGAATGAAGTTCGTAAACCTATCTCATAGAATTATGAAAATATCTACTTGCTCGATGATCATGACTTAGAACGATCATGACCTTGTACGAAAGGTCGTGAGTGCAGCAAAGATGCGAACCGACAGCGAGCCCTGACAGCGATAAACAATGATCTTTTGAACTTTCTGCAATATTTGTTTAGAATGAAATAGTCGAAACAATTTACGTCTACTAATAATTTCACCGAACCTTGGACTATAGAAAAGTAACGTTTCCGTTCGTAACGTAAATTTCGTTTCGCTGAAATTAGAAACACTAACGCGACGATAGACAATGGCGGAAGTGACGTTGTTACGTCCCAGCTTATCTGTGACTCTTTCTTGGGATCTTCGTCTTCAATTAAAGAGCTAAAGCTCACCTTAACTGTACTCGCTAACGAGAAAGAGCAATTCGGGATTGCAATGATTGTTTTCAAGGTTTAGCATTTAAATATATAAATAAATATGTATTGTTACAAAATAACGAGTTTATATTACAATATCGGTTTTGGGAAATCAAGTATACAATTATGTAGTTACGTTACCGCTTGTCGGTCTTACAGTTTGGTTGTACCAGCTATCTGTCGTGGTCCCAGGGCTGTCCTGTTGCAAGGATCTGTTTGTCGGCAACTATCACTCGCGACACGGGTCTCTACTAATTAACAACGGACTTTCCTCGGTAACGACGCGGCGCGCGTACGATTGCTCTATCCGTGACTACAATAATTTAGTATTTGACGACCAAAGCGCGACGCTGAGTGCCTGTTCGATTGACGATAAAGATTCGATGTGATCTTAACCGATTATACGTCGGACTTTCGTAGGTAACGACAACGCGTGAAGTTAACCTGTCCGCGACTACAAGATTTCGGTAATCACCACGATGAGAACGTACTGACAGCGGAATAAAAAAGAGCGCACCGTGGGGCGTGTCCACGGGTTTATATATTAGCTGATCCTCGCATGGCACGAGCCGCGTTCGAGAACCTTCGCTTCGGCATCCGTTGAAATCGGGATGGGTCCCAAGTTCAGCGGATGTGCTGCCGTTGAGTGCTGACGCCTATTTCGCTGATTCGCAGATCGCACGATTCGGTTCCCGAGAAACGGTTTCCGAATCGTATGTCAAGCGCATTTCTAAAAGTATCTGATCTTAACTATTCGCGATGCGAGATCGATGAAAAGGGACACCGGCAGGGCCGGATGTAACAACGTTGACCGGTTTCCAATCAAGCCGCGGCAAATTAGAATCGGAGCCTTTCAGATCGAAACAAAAGCCGGCCGTCGGAATAGATTTTCATTGAAACCCTCTTGGCGATGTTTTTAGGAAAAATTGCTACTATTCGGAGGCCCGAGAGCCCTCATCCGCGACTTATTGACAGTCGGATGACGTATCGACGTTTCACGAAATCTGTCGCTGATAGTTTCAACCCGCTAGACTCGATCCTCGAGGACTCTCTTCCTCTCCCATTTCCTTCCTCCTTTTTTCCTTTTTCTTTTTTCATCTCGATCCGTTCGCGTTACTTGGGCTACGGTCACGTGGTAGGGGTAATTTGCGTCTGAAGCCATCGCTTTGATGGGGAACAAAGTAGAGCGCAATCTCGGACTAAAAGCCATTCTTACCCCGGGTCCGCACTGCGCGAACGCGAAACAAGAACATACCCTAAAAACATTCGCAAGGGTGTTCTTACTGTCGCTAACATGCCGGCGAACATCTACGATGTTCGTACTCCTGTGAAACTGATGTTATTTCGTGGATTCGGGCGATCCGCATCCCCTCCATGGTTGGAAATGCTCGAAAGCAAACGACCGTTTACGACCACTCGTCGGCAGATACTCCAAAGGGATAATATGCGTGATCGTAGTTAATATTAGTTCCTTAATATTCATCCAAGTTTTTATGCTTTTTTTGTTGTATCTTGATGAAAATATATGCAACGCATTGGCGAGATTTTTCTGATAAAAATGATATCAAACACGACGCAATTCAGACAATTTTGAGTTTCGCTTATAACAAGTAATAGATTTTGTTACAGCCTATATATGTATTACACATACTATTCTTCAAGAAATGTTTGTTGACTTTTTTTTTTAAGACAGTATGCTTGCCTATTAATATTTTTTAAAATACCGTTTTACGTCCCTTGTCAGCTTCACGTCTTAAAAAAGTTAGCTTTGTGAACCTGATGCCCGACTTTTCAAAAATTCATTTGTTTATGGAAAATACTAGCATTTCGTTTGTACTCGATTGAACCATTAATAGTTTCGTTTGTACCTTCATCGATTAATAAATGAAAAAAATAAAAAAAAAAAGTCACCCAGCATCCGACATTGAGATTTTTGTAATCTGTTTTTTTCACTTCGTTTATACTTCGCTAGTTTAAATTTTACAGCCAATTGTCGTACGCGTAAGAAAGGAGTAAATTAATTTTCAAAATTTGTTTAATCTGTTCTTCCTCTGTGCCTGTAACTTGAATTTTGAAAACAATGCGGTCTCATTCCCTTACGTTTCCACTTCGAAATGAGTTCTTCAGAAATACCCAGAATTGATGAGCGACGAACTCTCCCCTTACGCGTATAAACAATTGCTTATAAATCATAAACTATCGAGATACAAACGAAACGAAAAGCGATACAAACGGGTACAAACGATTCCAAAGAATAGGGAAAAAACAGATTTCAAAAGTTTCGATGTCGGGTGCTTGTCATTTTTTTTTATTTTTTTTTTATTTATTAATTGATGAAGGCACAAACGAAATGGTATTATTTTCCATGAAAAAAATGAATTTTTGAAAAGTCGGGTATCAGGTTCACATAGCTACAAAAGTTACCTAGTTTTTCCATAGGCCCTAATTATCTCCTGGCTAGAATTTTACAATCTGTTTCCTATTTTCGAACCGACTTTCTAATCGGTTACTGGCTCACAAAATCAAGTATTAATATTATAAAAATATTGCATAGTGTAAACGAAACTTAAAGTTGTCTGAATTGCGTCGTGTTTGGTGCCATTTTTATCAGGAAAATCTCGCCAATATATTGCATATACTTTCATCGAGATACAACAAAAAATATACAAACTTGGACGAGTAATAAGAAAATAATGTTAACTTCGGTCACGCATATTATCCCTTTGGAGTATGTACCTACCTGCGGCTGGTCATAAAGACCAGCCCCACGGTTGGAAAGAATAGCAATATCCAAGCTCCGAGGGTTTGAAAAGGGACAAGAACGAGGAAAAAGGCGATGTTTTTCCCCGAACGTGTTCGCCGGATCCACCACCTCGTGGATCGCTGCATTTGGTTCGCGAACACAGTTTTCGCCTAATCCAGCTACTTTTACGACTTTACGCCTATTAGGAGTGTCATTTGTTAGCGAACTCTGCTATTTCCCGTCCACACTACGGCGAAAACCGGTGAATAACAGGGTTAGCTACCATGTTCACGAACGATGTACGCGAACCAGTGTTCGCGCAGTGTGGACCCGGGGTTACACGACGAGGTAAACACTGGGACGATGGGAAAATCATGGTCGTGGATCACAGTGGGGTATTGTCTGAATTTCTGTTGGCGGTTCGGAGTCGAATGCAACGAAAATGGCAGAACGCCAATTCGTGCGGACTATCTTTTACCTCTACTCGCAGCTTCTTCGATCAATATATTCAAAGACGAGGGACTCTTACGGCTAGCTAGCTTATTATTCACCCATGCTAATGCCCGATCAAGCAAGTTGCGCGAAATTACTTGATAATGGAATATTTAGGTGGCGGGGAATGTTCGCTGGAACTGGCTTGGGAGATTATTAACTTAGCCAGCACGAGCTTGCTGTCCCTGTTGCTATATAAACGTTATTCGAGGAATTTTTCTAATAAAATCATGCATAGTATAATGTAGGAGTCTGATCGAAAAATAAGGCACGGAGATTCGAACCCACGGTCCTCGGACCAACACAACTCGGACGTTATGATTCGTGTTCTCGTTTCACTCCTTATTGTCGGATATAGACCTTCAATTATGGGTCGTTGTATTCGCTTTGAAACGCTCTATCGGAATGCGTATAAGAAACTACATGATTTTGTTTAGAAGACAGAGTCCATCTTCATATATCTTCTACGCATGCATTGATAAAAAAGTTATTCACACTACGTTATATGGACCTCGAAAACGAACGACTCTTGTCCTACGCTCTTTTTTCTATCGCTAAAAGTTAGCGGATTATTCAGCTGGTCTATTTTAAATGTCTCACACTGCATGATCCTATAGACGCATAGGGACGTAAACACGTTTATCTAGTGTTCCGGGCGAATGCAATCGACGAACACCGAGGAAAACTGTCGTATTTTGTGTTATTATAGAGTTTGAGTACGCTAGTCAACGTTTAGCGATGGGTTTAGATGGAAATTGCATCGCTGGACGGACAAAAAGATGAATATCTAGTGTTCCTACTAAAGAAATCGATGGACATATGAAGGAAACTACGAAAACAAGTCATAAGGAAATAATATTACCAATGAAATTTAACAATTCAAAATTACAA